CAAACAGTGATGTTCAAGGTGAACCAACCAGAGATATACAGAGAGCATTGGAGTTGATATGACATCATGACTTCAAAAAACATATTAATTTAAAATATATTATAACCCACTCGTTTTTTATCTTCTAACTTTCAAGTAAACATATATATTGTGAAAAAAGATTAAGGAAATCAAATAATCTAGAAGAATATACCATAGACACTCCGTTGCATGTACTCCACTTTTTGCAACTTATTTCCACCAGCACACCTTTTTTGGATATCACCTGCTTCTGGTTTAGGTTCTGAGTAAATTCATCAAAGTTAACAATGAGATACGGGGACCCATGTATAACTAAAGAAGAAATTAAATTCCCGCAGAGGTAATCTTCTTTGAGCTTGTGTCCTGTACTTACGTAGCTACGTACTACGTAATATTTAGGAACTACATAAAAAACATTGTTGAACCACAAAACTGATTTGGTATAAGTTATAAAATTTGATATACATAATCAGACATCAAAAATAAATTAAGTTGACAGCAGGAATAGTGAATGTTAACCTTATTTTGGGCTGGAAGTCACATGAGGCTGAAGAAGAGAAGAGAAAGCAGAGAAATCAGAACGATCCATCTCCCTAAACTGGACAAACAGAATGGATTTGAATGTGGACTCGGGAAGAAAGGCCATCTCCATGGAATTCGCTAGAGGTGTTTCTCGGTGCCAGTTGAATTGGAGCTGGCGTTCGGGTGAAGAAGAGAAGAGAAGAGAAGATGATGGAGACGGAGGAAGTCGGAAAGGAAGAATATATGAATCAGATGAGAACGCTCTAGACTTTTGGATCATGTGTAAATTGAAATAAGAATCACCATGCCTAACTGCGTAAGAAAGGGAAGAACTGTATTTTATTCATTGAGATGAGAGTTACAAGATATGCAGAGAAGACTTGCCTAAAATATTACAAGAAGTGTATTTATAGAAGAAGATATGTAACTGAATGCTAACAACTAAAACTAACTAACTTCTTCTAGAATCTTCTAGTGTCTTCTCATGTGAGTATGCCAAGACCCCCCCCCCCCCTCAAGATGAGAGTACAGATTTTGTACGTTCATCTTGTACAGTAGAGAGTGAAATAGAGCTTTCCCCAAAGGCTTTGTAAATATATCTGCAAGCTGATGTTGACTGGGATCAAATAGAGTTTGTATTTTTCCAGATTGAATCCATTCCCGGATAAAGTGGCAATCTATCTCCACGTGTTTTGTTCTTTCATGATGCACCGGGTTTGCTGCAAGGGATAAAGCAGACTTGTTGTCACAATAGATTGTAGCATTGAATATAGGAATGTTAAAGTCTTGAAACAATTGCATCAAACGGATAACTTCAGCTGCAGAAGCTGCGAATGCCCTATACTCAGCTTCAGCCGAACTTCTGGAAACTGTATGTTGTTTCTTTGACTTCCATGAAATGAGGGAATGTCCTAAAAACATGCAGTAACCTGTAATGGATCTTCTAGTGTCAACACAACTAGCCCAGTCAGAATCTTAAAAACCCTTTAGTTGTAGATCAGAAGATGAAGAATATAAGAGTCCTTGACCTATAGAACCTTTCAAGTAGCACAGGACTCTATGTGCTGCAGACAAATGTGATTGACCAGGTTTTTGCATGAATTGAGCCAATGTATTAACAGCAAAACTGATATCAGGCCTGGTATGTGTGAGGTATAAAAGCTTTCCAACTAAAGATCTATAGTCAAAAGGATTATCCAAGTAATGATCATCTTGAATGCTTAAACGTAGTTTACTGTCCATGGGAAAAGTAACTAGCTTGCAATCTTGATACCCATATTGAGTTAAAAGATCCATAGTATACTTCCTTTGGCATAGATATAATAGTCCCTTTGATGAACCAGCTACTTCCAACCCTAGAAAGAACTTGACAGGACCTAGATCTTTTATCTTAAACTGCTCATTCAGAAATTTCTTGATGAGTTTTATTTGCTGCATATCAGAACAAGCAACTAGGATGTCATCCACATATACTAAAAGTATCATGGTAAAATCACCTTTGTGTAAAGTGAACAATGAATAGTCAACATGAGATTGACTGAAACCGTATTCCTTTAGAGCAGTAGACAATTTAGAAAACCATTGTCTACTTGCCTGTTTGAGACCATATAGACTTTTCAGCAGTCTACAAACTTTATTCTTCCCTCTTTGCTCAAAACCTTGAGGAATGGTCATGTACACTTCTTCATGGAGATCTCCATGCAAAAAGGCATTGTGTACATCAAGTTGTTCTAAGAACCAACCTTTTGAAGCAACTAAAGCCAATAATACTCTCACACTATTGAACTTAGCAACTGGTGAGAAAGTGTCAAGATAATCAAGACCTTCAACTTGAGTAAAACCCTTGGCAACAGGCCTGGCTTTATATCTTTCTATGGTACCATTAGCATGGTACTTCACTTTGTATACCCATTTGCATTTAATTGGAGTTTTCCCTGGAGGTAAATCAGTGATTAACCATGATCCATTTGCTTCAAGAGCAGATATCTCATCTTTCATTGCTTGTGTCCAGTTTGGGTCAGAAGATGCTTGAGAATAGGATGTGGGTTCAACAATTTGGGAAATTGAAACAGAGAAAGCTTGGTGTGGAAGAGAAAAGATAGCAAAACTGATATAATTCTGTATAGGGTGTAGTGTCTTACCAGGTTTGTTGATGGGAGAAGATGTGGCATCTGCTGAATGGACTTGACTGGAAGTGCAGACATAATCTTGAAGATGAGAAGGAGGCTTTCTTTGCCTAGGTGGTCTAAGAGATGATGATGTTTGTTGTTGTATTGAATGAAAATCAGTAGGTATGGATGTATTTGTGGAATCATTATCCTCCTGAATAGGATTAGTGAAAGTTACATCATCAGGAGAGGACTGATTGTGTTCAAATGGGAATATGGACTCGTGGAAATTAACATCCCTAGATAGAAATGTCTGCGAGGTATCAAGATCATATAACTTGTATCCTTTGGTGTTAGCAGGATAGCCAAGGAATATGCATCTTCTAGCACTTGATTGAAATTTATGTTTGTGTCCTATAAGATTGGAAGCAAAGCACAAACAGCCAAACGATCTTAAAGAGGAGTAATCAGGTGGTTGATTATGAAAGATTTCAAAAGGGGATTTGTTATTCAAGACTGAAGAAGGGAGTCTATTTAGGATATGGGCTGCTGTGAGTATACAGTCACCCCAGAAATTTAGAGGTAATCTGGCTTGGAATCTGAGTGCTCTGGCAATATTGAGCAAAGTTTGGTGTTTGCGTTCAGCCACCCCATTTTGTTGGGGTGTGTATGGACAAGTTGTTTGATGTATGATCCCTTCAGTGGAATAAAAATCTGGTAAATGGAATTCGGTTCCATTATCAGTTCTTATGGTTTTAATTCTGACAGAATATTGTGTTAAGATCAGTTTGTGGAAGTTTATGAGGAGTTGTTTTGTGTCAGATTTGTGTTTCATTAGACAGCACCAAACAACCCTTGAAAAGTCATCTACAATGGTAAGAAAATATTGAAAACCATAATAGGTAGGAACAGAAAATGGACCCCAAACATCACAGTGTATTAGGTCAAACGTCTTGGTAGATTTAATACTGCTTTTAGGAAAAGGTAATCTATGTAATTTTGCTAAAGGACAGATATGACAATCTTTATTATCAAGAACAGATACATGTAATGCATCCTTTATTGGCTGAAGTTTGAAATCAGAAACATGGCCCAATCTTTGATGCTAGATACTAGAAACTACACTATGAGACAGATGTGAAACATGATCATCAGAAGTATGTTTTGGTGGATGAAGAACATATAGTCCTTTGGTTAATTCAGCAATGCCAATCTTCTCCCTCGAATTTTTGTCCTGCAAGATACACTCATTGGCACAAAGAGAAAGAATTAAAGGTGCTTCAGATATTAGTTTTCCAACAGACAGAAGATTCACATTGAAATTAGGAACACACTACAAGAAATTTGACATTTTATGACGGAAATATTTGTCACATAAACATTAATATTTGTCACAAAAACTATTATATGACAAATTTTGAGCGTCACAACGATCGTCATGGTAACTTCGTGACAAAAGGTATAAATGACAATTTTTGAATTCGTCATTTTATGTTTAGTTTTAGTGACGCCTTAGGACTTTGTCATCATTACTGGACATTTTTTGTGACGTCAAATACGTCACGTTTGTACCATTTTTTTGTCATCAAAGTATAAATTTCGTCACATTAGCTTAACACAATAAATGACAAAATCTTAATTTGTCATTAAAACGTAACTTATAGTGACAATTCACACGATACTCCAAAAATGAATGAATTGTAGTGACAATAAAATTGTCACTAATAAGTTACTTATTTTGTCACTTTTGTAAAAATTCGTCATTATAGAGATTTATTTAATGACAGTTATTTCGTCACTAAAAAGGTATAATACGACGACATAGAGTGTCATGAATAAAAAAGAAATAATGACGAAAATTTAACCGTCAATAAAGTAATACATTTTGTGACAATATTATTCATCACAAAAATGCTTCTATAGTGACAGTGATAAATATTTGTCATTATTCAAAAAAATTGTTGTGACAAATCAAGTGTCACAATAGACTACCTTTAGATGATGAATATGTCATTGTCGTTTAATGAAATCATTAGTGACGATAAATTAATTAATTTATAAGGCGGTTGAATATTTCAATGTTGTGGTGAATTATTAAATTTTAGTGATGAAATAGTTAATTGTCATATTCAATTTTTATATATTATGTGCACATTGTCACAATATGTGTATCATATCAATATGAAAAATAAAATAAAATGAACGACGTGTATTAATGAACATTTAAAATTGGCAAGTATTAGTAACAAGCTGCCCACAAATCACATTGAAACACATTCTCATATCCAGAAAAACTAAATTGTGCAAAACACTTGAAACTATAAATACCTTATTAATCTAACTACAAAACCTAAACAGAAAACTATGAGATGGCTAAATTCATAAACTGAAACCTAAATAGAGAACTAAAAAGAGAACTTGGATGTGAATCCAAAAACAATGATTAGACTGTCATTCCCTGAGTAGCCATAAATGCCATGAGTTTTTCCACTTTTGAAGCTTGTTGAGCTACATTTGAAGCTTGTTGAGCTAATTGATTTCTCAAATCAAACACTTCTTTATCAGTATCTTGTACTTGAGTCTTAAGCTCACCAACTTGTGCTTCAGAAATGTGTAATTTTTCTTGTGTTTCATGAGGTTCTTTTTGGAGTTGTTCGGTCGCAAAAGAATTAGGGTTGCTGCGTCTACTTGTAGGTTTAGGACCGTAACCAAGACCTTTAATGTAGCCGGACCCATGGCCAAGAACCTCAAGAACTATCTCATCTGTGCTCTTTTCGATTCCTTCTTCTTTGTACTGTTGCTGTTTATTTTTCATCATTTCCTGTTTGAACATATTAATTTAAGAAGTTAACATTAATTTTTCTAAAATAAATAATGTATGGTAAAATAAGATACGAAGAAGAGCTAGTAATATACCCAATTTTCTTCTGCAACTTCGGATGACCAACCTTTTTTCTCTGAAAAATGAGTTCGTTTATAGAGTTCAATCAAGAATCACCATTTAATTCCTGCATAGACTATAAGGCATATTGATTAGCATAAATTAAAAGTTATGAACTAACAACAAGTATTTTTGGTATAATCCCAAATACAGATTCCAGCAAAAAAAATATTGCAATCAAAATTCACTTACTGAATTTACAGAGCAAAGACACTATAAGAGTTCAAAACTAGCCCAAGATAACTTGGAGTAAATGGCAGAAAAACATAATTGAATTTCCTTTCCCATTGCAAGTTCTGAACTCTCCCATTACAGAGCATATTGATTAGCATAAATTAAAAGTTATGAACTAACAACAAGCAGTTTTGGTATAATCCCAAATACATATTCTAGGAAAAAAAATAGATTGCAATCAAAATTCACTTACTAAATTTACAGAGCAAAGACACTATAAGAGAGTTCAGAACTAGCCCAAGATAACTAGCTCAAGTAAATGTACAAAATACATGCTCCGGTAAACAAGATTTAGTTGTTTCAAACTGCCGCAACTAGTATTGATGCATAAACAACATTTTTCGAGCAGAGAAAATTCCCTAAATAAAACTAAAACAAAAATTAAATTCATAAATAAGACTCTTTATTTTAGTCCCAAAATAGGACTCATTCATTTCTTTTTTAACCAACTTATTTTTTTAGGACTACATAATTCTTTTGTGGCTTTTCTGCAGTCATATCAAATAGCTACCAGACAAATGGTCAATATGGATAAAAGTTTCTTTTTTACAGCCTCCATATTACATACGACCACCATTATAATGATTGAGCAGATTCTTGAAATGAAGAGAAAAAAGTAGCTAAAATTATTTATAAAAATGAAGAAGTTTGCAGTCTCGACTCTTGAAACCATGGATCAAAACTTCTATTACATATCTTACAAGTAATATATGTGTGCTGCTAAGGCTATACATTAAGATTCCAGGGTATTACAAGTCAAAACTTCAAATCCTGAAACACAAGTTTTGTTACTTACAGCCTTACAGGTATTCTAGACCCCCTCTAATTAGAATGTATAGGGCATCATCTATGCTCATCAAACCAATTTTGCTCTTTGGGACTTTTACAGCAGTCAAAATGGTTACTATAACTGCTTTGTACAAACTTGAAAAGTAAGAGCTTTGAAGCCAACTTCGGAAACGGGTTCCAAACCGTAGCAAATAAGAAGCAGTTAAGAAGACTGAGATATCACTTGACTGTGATATCCAGATTTAAACTTGCTAGTTTAATGCATAGATAACTAAATTACAGCTTTTATTTAAATTCAAATGACAAGGACTCTAGAGAACCATGGCAGGAAAGTTAAACCATCTAAATGAAGACACACAGCCGATACGATGCTACTTTTGATAAATTAAGGAGACAAATTGCAATAAATATCAGCGAATTTAAAGGACTCGCCTTGGAGTCCCTGTCTTCGTCGCAAAAAACCTGTTCGTGTATCAGATTGTGTATCAAAGGCCGTGACGATTTCAAGAGCGTGATGATATGCAGCCGTTGTATCAAAGACTGGAAATTACTTTGTGTATCGAAGATGGCAGTACGCAATTTACCGGACTGGATACGGTGACAGCCGGTTAAAAAATATGATGAAGAATGAGAGAGATGAGAGATGTGTGATTAAAATGAGAAGGAATGTGGTGTTTATATAGGATTTTCGAGCAAAATATTAATTAAAAATAATTGAAAAATAAAATAAATTATTTCAACAGTTGGATTTAAATTTCAGCCGTTGGATCATTTTTTTCTCGTTCAAACAGTGCCAAGATCATCACAGCCGTTGGATCTTTCAAAAGTTTTTTTTTAAAAAACAACTGTTTCTAGTGCATGATGACATCATGCTGACGTCACCGTGACGTCAGCGAGGGAAAAGAATTGAGTTAATTATCAAAATAGGACTAAAAGTCATTCACTTTTCACAAATAGGACGAAAAAATGAATTATGTTTGCATAGGACTAATTATGTGTACCTTGGACAATTATACCTTTATAGCTATTAAAATGTTTTAATTCCTAATAAAATAATAAAAAATAATAAAAATTCGTAAAAAATACTAAAAAATTAAGAAAAACATTTCGATATTAAAAATTTAATTAATTTTTTTTTTTCAAAAAATTAAAAAAAATTAAAAAAAATTAAAAACTAAAAACAAAATCGCCGCCGCCTCTGCCGCCTCAGCACCACCACCTCCGGTCACCAGGGGAAAAAAATGCCAAGTTCATTACGAATGTCATATTTATGGCAGAAAAAATTGAAAATGTTGGCATTCGAAAAGAGAATTATGCCACTTTTTTGGCATTTTCAGAAAAAAATGGCATTTTTCTGGGAAAATGGCATTTTTTTCATCGGTCGGAGGTGGTGGTGCTGGGAGGTAGTACAAGCGGTGGGAAAGGCATCCATATTTTTTAAAATTTTTTTTACGGAGTTTTACTATTTTTTATTAATTTTTTTAAAAATAAAATTATTTAAAAAAAGTTTTTGAATTTTTTATTTTATAAAAATTTTATAAATTTTTTAATTATATTTCTACGAATTTTTGATTTTTTTTCGAATTTATTATGAATTAAACATTTAATTATGGCTTTTGACTATTTTTAATTCATATTTAATGGAAGAGTAAGAATGGAATGCAAAAATAGGTATGTTTCCAATAGGACTCATATGGTCCTATTTTCGAATAAAAACATAGCAAGTCCTATTTTAGGTTTTTGCCATAGTTTTAGTCCTATTTGAACTAATTTCTAAAAAGAATTCGGCTCCCGGCCTCTGCTCCCCGCCTGCGCACAGTATGCCCTCCACTCCCCTTTTTCTTTATTTTCCTTTTTCTTTTTGGCTGTCCAAAACTCCTCCAAATTTAACCTCTTCCCTCCCCAAACCCATTTTTAATTAATACCCTCTACACTCAACCAATGTATGAAATTAGGAGTCCAAAAATGCATTTTAAAATTTTGGACTCCTTATATCTCACCACTTCATTTGGTCTTACTGTAGAGTACACTGTTTGACATTGTTTGACACTGTTTGACATTGTTTGACACTGTTTGACACTGTTTTGCACTGTTTGATGTAGATTTGTTTGTCAAATAAGATAAATAAAGAAGCGTAAAAAAAAACAACCATTTCTAGTGCATGATGACATCATGCTGACGTCACCGTGACGTCAGTGAGAGGAAATAATTCGGCTCCAGCCTCTGCTCCCCGCCTGCGCACAGTATGCCCTCCGCTCTCCTTTTCTTTTCTTTTCCTTTTTCTTTTTGGCTGTCCAAAACTCCTCCAAATTTAACCCCTTCCCTCCCCAAACCCATTTTTAATACCCTCTACACTCAACCAATGTATGAAATTAGGAGTCCAAAAATGCCATTTTAAAATTTTGAACTCCTAATACCTCATCACTCCATTTGGTCTTACTGTAGAGTACATTGTTTGACACTGTTTGACACTGTTTTGCACTGTTTAATATGTGACGGTCCAAAAAGGAAAGTGTAAAGTTAATTAAGGACGGGAAGAAGTACGAATTAAACCTCCAAATGCAGGACATGAACTTACATGTTGTCTTACCGATTGTGAGGAGTCACTTTTCGTGAAAAGCAAAGAATCCATATTGAACTCGGGCCCCATCTCTTTGCCCAACATTTTCATAGTTTTCTCACATTTTTTTGACAATTTTCCATGGTGCTCCTCATACAAAGCCTCTGCTACATTACATACGTTTTTTGCCATAGTGTATGCTTCTGGAGAAATGACTCCATGGTACCATAAATAGTCACCCTGATCAATACCTGGAGTACCAATACCCAGATTCCCAAGCTGCAGATAAAAAAGGTTTACAAAACCGTCAAACTTACAAATGGTTGACTATGAGAAACAAATTAAAAGTTGATGGTTAACTCAAAATGAAAGCAAAACTCACAGCAAGGCCCTTTAACTTGATGGGCATGCCACTGTTTTCATTGTATTGAAGCACTAAAGCAGCAAGTTGCGGTACTAAGTGCCCTATATATTGAAAAATTGTGACAAAATTTAAAAGCTGTTTACTTTAGTCATTGTCTAGATATTAAAGAGGATATTGCGCAAATATATGATATGATAGAATCTCATCACCTTCACCACCATCTCCAGCCAAGTAAAAATCTGAGTTTCTGTAGTTGGGGAATTTCTCAAACCAGTTGAGGAGGAACTTCATATTTTCATTTACTGTATAAAAAGGTTGTCGATAGGTTTACAAAGATGCAAAATATCTATCAAATCGAAAGAGAGTTGGACTTGTGGTACACACTTTTGGTGTACACACTTTTTACACATGTCTGTGTAAGGTTTTTTTATGTCTGTACAGACATAACGTATTTTAAAAATACGTTATGTCTGTACACACTTTTCACAGTATGCAATTTTTTCTTCTTGAGGTGGCATACTGTGAAAAAATTGCGACTAGTTTGGATGATTGTGAACACTTTGAGGTGGCATCTCAAAGTGTGTACAGACATAACGTATTTTTAAAATACGTTATGTCTGTACAGACATAAAAAAACCTTACACAGACATGTGTAAAAAGTGTGTACACCAAAAGTGTGTACCACAAGTCCAACTCTCTTTCGATTTGATAGATATTTTGCATCTTTGTAAACCTATCGACAACCTTTTTATACAGTAAATGAAAATATGAAGTTCCTCCTCAACTGGTTTGAGAAATTCCCCAACTACAGAAACTCAGATTTTTACTTGGCTGGAGATGGTGGTGAAGGTGATGAGATTCTATCATATCATATATTTGCGCAATATCCTCTTTAATATCTAGACAATGACTAAAGTAAACAGCTTTTAAATTTTGTCACAATTTTTCAATATATAGGGCACTTAGTACCGCAACTTGCTGCTTTAGTGCTTCAATACAATGAAAACAGTGGCATGCCCATCAAGTTAAAGGGCCTTGCTGTGAGTTTTGCTTTCATTTTGAGTTAACCATCAACTTTTAATTTGTTTCTCATAGTCAACCATTTGTAAGTTTGACGGTTTTGTAAACCTTTTTTATCTGCAGCTTGGGAATCTGGGTATTGGTACTCCAGGTATTGATCAGGGTGACTATTTATGGTACCATGGAGTCATTTCTCCAGAAGCATACACTATGGCAAAAAACGTATGTAATGTAGCAGAGGCTTTGTATGAGGAGCACCATGGAAAATTGTCAAAAAAATGTGAGAAAACTATGAAAATGTTGGGCAAAGAGATGGGGCCCGAGTTCAATATGGATTCTTTGCTTTTCACGAAAAGTGACTCCTCACAATCGGTAAGACAACATGTAAGTTCATGTCCTGCATTTGGAGGTTTAATTCGTACTTCTTCCCGTCCTTAATTAACTTTACACTTTCCTTTTTGGACCGTCACATATTAAACAGTGCAAAACAGTGTCAAACAGTGTCAAACAATGTACTCTACAGTAAGACCAAATGGAGTGATGAGGTATTAGGAGTTCAAAATTTTAAAATGGCATTTTTGGACTCCTAATTTCATACATTGGTTGAGTGTAGAGGGTATTAAAAATGGGTTTGGGGAGGGAAGGGGTTAAATTTGGAGGAGTTTTGGACAGCCAAAAAGAAAAAGGAAAAGAAAAGAAAAGGAGAGCTGAGGGCATACTGTGCGCAGGCGGGGAGCAGAGGCTGGAGCCGAATTATTTCCTCTCGCTGACGTCACGGTGACGTCAGCATGATGTCATCATGCACTAGAAATGGTTGTTTTTTTTTACGCTTCTTTATTTATCTTATTTGACAAACAAATCTACATCAAACAGTGCAAAACAGTGTCAAACAGTGTCAAACAATGTCAAACAGTGTCAAACAATGTCAAACAGTGTACTCTACAGTAAGACCAAATGAAGTGGTGAGATATAAGGAGTCCAAAATTTTAAAATGCATTTTTGGACTCCTAATTTCATACATTGGTTGAGTGTAGAGGGTATTAATTAAAAATGGGTTTGGGGAGGGAAGAGGTTAAATTTGGAGGAGTTTTGGACAGCCAAAAAGAAAAAGGAAAATAAAAGAAAAAGGGGAGTGGAGGGCATACTGTGCGCAGGCGGGGAGCAGAGGCCGGGAGCCGAATTCTTTTTAGAAATTAGTTCAAATAGGACTAAAACTATGACAAAAACCTAAAATAGGACTTGCTATGTTTTTATTCGAAAATAGGACCATATGAGTCCTATTGGAAACATACCTATTTTTGCATTCCATTCTTACTCTTCCATTAAATATGAATTAAAAATAGTCAAAAGCCATAATTAAATGTTTAATTCATAATAAATTCGAAAAAAAATCAAAAATTCGTAGAAATATAATTAAAAAATTTATAAAATTTTTATAAAATAAAAAATTCAAAAACTTTTTTTAAATAATTTTATTTTTAAAAAAATTAATAAAAAATAGTAAAACTCCGTAAAAAAAATTTTAAAAAATATGGATGCCTTTCCCACCGCTTGTACTACCTCCCAGCACCACCACCTCCGGCCGATGAAAAAAATGCCATTTTCCCAGAAAAATGCCATTTTTTTCTGAAAATGCCAAAAAAGTGGCATAATTCTCTTTTCGAATGCCAACATTTTCAATTTTTTCTGCCATAAATATGACATTCGTAATGAACTTGGCATTTTTTCCCCTGGTGACCGGAGGTGGTGGTGCTGAGGCGGCAGAGGCGGCGGCGATTTTGTTTTTAGTTTTTATTTTTTTTTAATTTTTTTTAATTTTTTGAAAAAAAAAATTAATTAAATTTTTAATATCGAAATGTTTTTCTTAATTTTTTAGTATTTTTTACGAATTTTTATTATTTTTTATTATTTTATTAGGAATTAAAACATTTTAATAGCTATAAAGGTATAATTGTCCAAGGTACACATAATTAGTCCTATGCAAACATAATTCATTTTTTCGTCCTATTTGTGAAAAGTGAATGACTTTTAGTCCTATTTTGATCATTAACTCAATTCTTTTCCCTCGCTGACGTCACGGTGACGTCAGCATGATGTCATCATGCACTAGAAACAGTTGTTTTTTAAAAAAAAACTTTTGAAAGATCCAACGGCTGTGATGATCTTGGCACTGTTTGAACGAAAAAAAATGATCCAACGGCTGAAATTTAAATCCAACTGTTGAAATAATTTATTTTATTTTTCAATTATTTTTAATTAATATTTTGCTCGAAAATCCTATATAAACACCACATTCCTTCTCATTTTAATCACACATCTCTCATCTCTCTCATTCTTCATCATATTTTTTCACTGTATTTTTGTTATGTCTTCCCCAAGAAGGGGTGTTAATTGGAGTGCTAAAGAGGATGTTGTTCTATGTGGTATGGAAGAACACACATGGTGGAAAAGAGAATCCAATGTCATATAATGTGCTATGAAAGGACACAAATAATGGAAAAGAGAATCCAATGTGATTTGAAAAGATACAAGTTGAGAAGGGAATCTAATGATCCAATGTGTTTGAAATCACTCAAGAAAAAAAAAATAAACAATGAAATTTATTTTTTACATCGAAATGTGTCTTTTTTATTTTATAATTAATCCGAGAAAAAATTAAAAGGAAAATATTACTTATAATAATTTAATTAATGTTTTACTAAATTGATATGTAAAAAATGTGCAGAGTGTATTTTATTGACGGTGCTGGAATGCAGATAATAGGAGTCAAAACACCGTTTTCATATTGACGGAGTCCATTTTAGACATTTGGACTCTTGCACCACTCCAAATGGTCTAAAGTCAAATTTATTTCCTTAATATGTCTGAAGTCAAAGTGTAAACTTCATTAAGGACCGGAGGAAGTATAACTTTTGCGAGTACTTGGTATTAGGAGTTTTTTTCCAGATTAATGTTAATTAATTAATTAATTACGGAATTAATGTTGGGTTAAAAATATTTAACAATATACTGCTGGGATTGTGTTGGGTTGTGGGTTTGGGAACTATTTATAAGTAGTGGGTTAAAACTATTTACCAATATACTGCTGGGATAATGTTGGATTAAAACTATTTACCAATATACTACGAAATTAATGTTGAGATTTCCTACTTTTTACTTTACACACAACCCACTACACCTTTTATCCTACCCCTATTAATTTCTTCTTAAATCTTGTGCTAAAGGCTATACTCCCATCTACTCCGTATTAGAGAAAGGAGGGAGTAATGCCTAAGAGGAGGATAAAAGATAAAAATATAACTTGATCGCTTTTAGTTACCAGGCTTATGTTTAATTCTTATGATTAAGTGACCATAAAAGTACACTGATAGGCTCATAGCAACTACTATCATACTACCTCCGTCCCAAAATGATGGTCCTGTATTTCTTTTTTGGGATGTCCTAAAATGATGGTTCTGTTTCCTTTTTTGAAAGAAAGATGTGGTCCATATCATTTCACTTTATTATATTAAAATCTCAATCACACCTTTTAACTTTTCAAACATTTTATTAAAACTTGTGCCCAAAAGAAATGAGATCATCAAATTGAGATGAAGGGAGTATTTTTATCCATAAATTTTATTTTAGTACTATTGCACCAAAAACCAAAGATGGACAAATTTATTAGTTAAGACTAAGGTCTAAAAGTAAACAAAATTACCGGACTAAAAATTATTACCAACAAAAGTTGCAAAACTAAATCAATAGACCTTCCAATTAAATAAGATCTTATATAATTTCTCTAATCTCTCTAACTAGGTATTGTTTTCAACAATTAAGGTGACTAGTGAAACAAAAAATGGTGATCCTTGCCTTCCTAATTACACGCCGGTCTATTTGAATAAACCAGAAGTTCAAAAAGCCTTGCACGCCAACAAGACTTGTTTACCATATCGTTGGGATTCTTGTGATGGGTACTTTTACAATTTTGATTCAGTATGGTACTTTGATGGGTACGTATAATGCCCTAAACAAATTCATTTATGTAAAAATTGCAGGCCTTTAAACATTTTGCCTGCATATGAGACTAAAAACTTCAATACACTCGCATCACTTTTAAGGCGGCACATTCGAATTCTACTTTACAGGTGAGTGATTCTTATAATATTTATAAGGAAAAATTGATCGTAATAATCGGCGGTCCGCTCATAATAATCTCAACTATCTATTATTTCAGAATAATTCCAATTTTAGGCACCTTTCGCCAATAATGGTCCGACGTGATCGACTATAAATAAATTCATATAGTTTCTAAAGAGATATATCAGGCAATCCCTATAAATAATCCTAAATTTTAATTTTTACGCTTAATTTCTATTAAAAATTCACTTGTTAGAGCAAGTAATATGCGGTCATGGACCATTATTGTTGGACGGTCCATATACTTGGGATTATACAAAAATAATCAATAGTTGAGATTATTGTTAGCGGACCGGCAATAGTTGAGATTATTATTTTCAATTTTTCCTATTTATAATCCTTTTAATTACTTTAGAATTATTTATTGAGCTATTTGCATTTGATATTGGAGTACCAATGACATCACCGGCTAGTGACACCCGGCCAGGGACACCCGCATGAGACAGTGCAAAACAGTGACAAACAATGTTGCTACAGTGCCAAACAGTGTCGCTACAGTGCCAAACAGTGTCGCTACAGTGAGAAGTCAACTTTGTTTTCTTAATCTGTGTGAAGGTCAAAACAGGACGATTATTTCGGGACGGAGGAAGTACTTTATGTTTCCTACTTTATCATAACTTTACTCTATTTAATATACTCTATTTCCTACTTTATTATCACTTTATTACCATTTTACTCTTTTTAATATACTTTCTTTCCTACTTTATCATTTACTCTACACACTCTACTTTTACCCTACTATTTTTCTATTAAAACTGTGTCCAAAACTAGCGGGACAGATAATAAAGAACGGAGGGAGTATCAATTGATCAAAGAAAATAAAATCGATCGAAACATGCCAAAAATCGGCACGAGCCGATTGAAAAATAGTTGAACCAAAACCGGTAAAAGGTATAGATCTTCAACATTATATTTCTGAACACTGAACTGATCAAATTGAGCCTCTATGAGAGAGAAATGAGATAACTTGGGAATCTCTATCCTTAAGCTTTTGTTAGTCACCTAGTGTGAGCTAATTTTGTCAACACAGCCTTGTAATTGTATTATTCCTTTATACAGTGGAAAGAATCTCCATATTAAAAAATTATAATCTTGTATTAAATTTTTATGACTACCTTTAGTTCTAAGTGTCTATCTTAACTTCATGAAACATGAAAGGTCGTCTTAAATTTGGCGTATTAGCCCCGTGTAATTTAAAAAAATGCATCAAATCTCACTGTGTTATAATTATTCATGCGCAAAACTCACTCCAATAACAAAATTAACAATTTGAAAATAACTTGTCTTAATATTATAATTGAATGTGCAAGTAAATTTGTCAAGATATCTAAATTATGTAAAATACCTACCACTTTTCTATTATTTAGCAATTAATTTTGTTCATTGAGGGACTTTTGTGCATGATAATTATAACAAAGAGGAGTTTGATGCATTTATTAATTTGCATGAGTAATTTATACGAGTATATCATGAGAAGGCTTGATGCATTAAAGCCCGTTCACAACTGGTTTCCGAACATCTCCATTACCCTCACGACCCTCTTTTGAAACCCAATGCTAATATTACAAATTATTGCAGCGGAGATCAAGATGTAGCTAATCCCGTCGTTGAAACTAGGAAATTCACATACATGCTTGCTAAAGACTTGAAGCTTACCAAATCTCAAAAGAATAGACCATGGTACAATGGTGTTCAGGTAATGACGTCAATTCACTTGTGTAATTGGCTATTTTCGACTTTTCGTTGTGTGCTGGTTATTGCCATGGTGCGCCGTGGTTAAAGAACTCTTGTGTGACACTTTTGATTACAAAATTTCTATTTGAAAGCGTACAATGGATCCATATGGAGTGCCTTCTACATATATGTAATATAATATTTGTCACTTTTTCTTTTGAAACGCCCTTTATATTTTTAACACAATGTTAATTACTTAATTTAGGAAAATGTTAATTAAATAACTACTGTTTTTACTTGATAAAAAATATGGGGATATAGATAAATTGAATAAATGGATCGCTTTATATATTATCATCATCAACATTCCTTGTACAATTATTTCACTGTCCATATTGTTTCCTTGTATAGTTCATTGACTCTCCTATGTGTATTTGTATCCTAATAGGTCTCTCCATGTGCAATCAATATATAATGAGAGTTCCAAAACAATAAAAAATATCTACATCTCAATGATCTAAGACCCACTCTCTTTCTATTCTTTTTGTTATCTTCCACTATTCTTTATCATGATGGTAAAATACTAAAATCTGTTGACAAAAGTAACAACATTGTATGATAAGTTAGAATCACTACCACCACCACAAATCCTCAAGACACATCTAATCTTCCTCTTCTAGCAATAAATCTTCCTCATGACCCTACTAAATTTAACCCTTAGGAACTCTAGTTTCATATCACTTTGGATGTACACTGGTTCAAAGGTTAAGAGCTATAATGTGCAAGGTGCACATGTGTCATGAGAGACAAAAAATATTGATTTTATAACATTTCTCTCTCCTTTCCACGGTCTTATGTGTTTTTGCTAAGTTTTTCTCTGCAATGTCAACCATAATGTCTATATCTAGACATTGTGTTTGACGTTGTGAAGAAAAACTTACGAAAATGATGTAAGATCCTTCAAATAAGGAAAGAGATATTCTATTTGTTGTTTTTTAATTGGTTATTTCTCATGACACAAATGCACTGTTAACGTTTTAGCATTGAAGATGCTCTAAGTTTACATATCTCTCATATCTGCCGTCAAGACCGTCAACCATCACAAATGTGACATCCAACGCTCCAAATCATTCACGTCAAACTCGGAAACCGGCCACTTGATTGCCTTTTCTTGAGCATCAGACCTCTCGCATCCTCGATTTGTTGCTCCAATGGTCAGTCATGCTATATTGATGGTGGAAGCCTTTGACATGTAAGTGTCTACCTACACTACTCAACCACAACCCTATATCAAACAAATTTCACGAATTCAATCTCTCTTGACAGACTTGATTCATGGTGGATAATGTTTGTTGTCGTGAAAACTATTTCTTTTCATGTCAAGTAGACAGAAATATTGTTCCAGGAAATTACTAAATATGGTATTTGTCAACGAAATCCCTCAGCCTCAGCTCAAGCCACTCATATCATGAAAATTCTTTCTTTTTCTTGAGTCACAACGTCAGTCAGTCAGTGTGTCATTCATATCGTCACCCTAGACTTCCATTTAATTTTGTGTTAAAAAGTATTTCGTCATGTTATCCTTTAACCACCATAACGCTAAGTGTAAGAAATGCATATATAAACTTATGTGATCTACGTCTATAGAACGTTCCTTCCTTTTCCCTTGTTTAAATATTTTGATGTCTCGACCTCCCGATTGATTCTGCTGATCACTCTAAAAATTACTCCTTGTCATTAAACATTACACACGTTATTCCTTGTCATTCTATTACCAAGGCCGTGTTTTAGGAGGTGCAATAGGTGCTTGTCATCGGGTCCCACTCATGTAGGGGTCTAAAAAAATTTAGAATGTAGTATTAGTTATAGGTTTATTTTTATAGATATTATGTATTATTCAAGATTCCAAAAGGTATATAACTTTTAGATTCTCTAATTTGTGTACTTTAAACATCATAAAACTTATATTTCATTGAACTGTCTAGTCTATTTGTATTTCATTGTTCAAATTTGTATTTTTCTTGTTTTAGGGGGCCTCAATTTTCCATTTGGAACCGGGCCTCCAAATTTGTTAGACGACCCTGTCTATTAGTACTATACATGATGTTACTTTTCCATCAAAGATCTAGATTTATGATTTTTTTTCATTGGTTATGAAGTCATTCTTATTAATTGGGGTTCATCTGTCTTAAAATAATAATCACTTCGTTTCACAAAATTTTCTCAACTTTTATTATTTAACTGTTCTATTTTCATTTAAAGAAATAAATAATCTGTATGTGGTTAAAGTTATTTCTATCTTCTCTTTATAATTCTCAACCACAAAGTTTTACTTTATGATTTCATATGTAAGTCAACTTTGGTCAAGTTGTAACATCCGATTCGTAAGGTCTAAGGTCGTTATTCTCGGATATGCTTTGGACTAGTACTTTTTCCACAAATCAACACAAGCCTTTCCTAAGGGGGACCCATTCAAGGATTACTCCCATGCAAATATGCTAAATTGCGAAGTTCTTAATAGACAAGCTCTTAAAATATACACCTTATGGTATGAGCAGTCCCTTTAATCAGTTTTAGATCTTCCCAGTGGAACAGTCATCCCCCCTTATAGTCGCAACATCCCTAGATCAATACACTGTCACATGTTTTTGCATTTTAACAAGCATTAAGGTAAGACATGTTTTATAGCCAGTTCTAGTTTATTCTCTTTTCACTTATTTGTCTGAAATAGATATTGGCAAATGCTTTTCGTTTTCAGAAAGTCAGAAACATCAAGTACATTTCAGCAAAATAAACATTTCCAATCAGACACTAATTAATATATACCTTAGTAATAGCACCTTGAGTTTAACACCAGCGTTTTTTAAGTCGCCTGTTGCCTTGTCCACCTTCATATAAAGACACTAGGCGGGCATTGGATGGTAGAGTCAAGGAACGGATGCGCTCTAAACATGTATTATCCTCACAAACTAACACAAGCCTTTTTCAAGCACTTTGTTCTCACTCGTGCGCGACTTGAGAAACTTTTTCGGTGCGTCACTTAGCCTAAGACTACACTCATGCAAACACACTTAACTATAGAGTTTTTAATAGATGAGAGTCTTTAAAAAGGTGCACCACGTTAATGTGAGTAGTACTTTTTATCTTTTGCGTTACGTACACAAGTTTTGTGGGATGAGAAGAGTATAATAGTGATGTACTCGACTAAAAAAAGTTGACCAAGTCTCAGACTGCATGGACAACATATCCCACAAAAGCTCCTCTTTGTTATTTCTCGTCTACTATTGTGGATCATTATATTGTAGTTAGAAAAAAACTATTTCTACACGAAAAGTGCACACATTTTTGTGTACAATTCTCCTGTACACATGTACATAATAAGCAATTCATTTGGAAAAGGTCAACAATTGTCTTTGTACAACTGTACACCGGCGGGTGTACAAAAAGTACACTTTTTGTGTACACCAAGAATTACTCATGTAGTTAAGTTGGTTCTTCACTATCTGCATAACATAACTACCTGTTAGGGAATCATGACCACTAGTCTGTTTCACGATCACAAACTCATAGGAATTTTGTACTATCACCATACACTTAACAGAAAGAGTCTAGATGATTATATCACTTTGTATTGTACTCTCAAATATACATGATATATTTTATAAGTAAATGAATAGCTAATTTCACTCTTTATATTTGAGACTTCCTCACCCACACACTTATGATATTGTCTCCTCTTATCCTAAGAATGATTATCAATCACACTCATCATGAAACATCTTTAGGTTCTTTCTCTCACAAGAAGAGTCTCATTCTCTTCTCTAGGTTCATATAGGAATGAGAAGTCTCACCTCTATTTATACTAATATCCTCGAGGCTTCCCTAGAAATTTTTGTACACAAGTACACTTGTAGACTCTTATTACAGGAATTATTCACGAACTTCTCTAATCTTTTAGGAGGTAAGGGTCAGATTGGTCCTCGAAGTTGCTAAAAAGGGTCAAATAAGTCGTTATATAGGAGGCTCTGCCCGACATTCTCCATTCGGGGCGGTTCCCGGTGGAATTTTTTTATGAAAGTTTTTGTGAATCTTATTCATTAAGTCTAGTTTACTCATACCAAATTTCAGCTAAAACTTCAATCGGGAAGACATTCAAATGAATTCTTGAAGGTAACTGCGCAGTTATCTTCAAGACTTCATTTGAATGCCTTCCCGATTGAAGTTTTAGCTGAAATTTAGTATGAGTAAACTAGACTTAATGGATAAGATGCCCAAAACAATTCATCAAAAAATACCACCGAAAACCTTCCCAAATGGCGACGGTCAGACAGTAAGGACTTATTTGACCCTTTTTATGCAATTTCGAGGACCAATCTGACCCTTACCTCCTTTTAGAAGGATATGAGAACTCCACATTTCTTCAGAATGTTTTATAGCTTCCACTCTTCACACAATTAGAGAGTTTCACACTTCTCCTCAAAACTCCAAAATGTTCTAGAATATTCTACACTCTTCCACACAATAACAACAACATCATATCCAAGCCTTAGTCCCAAAAGATATTGGGGTCGGCTAACATGAATCGATACATGTTTCTATTCATGTCATGTGATGCGACTAGGTGATACTGTTGGCCGTCACACGCCTACCACAACACCCTCCTCTTTTATCCTGACTTGGGACAGATATGATACCGAAAAAATGATATCATGGCGGAGTTATTCTACACTCTTCCACACACTTATAAATAATTCCACACCCCTCTAGAAAGCTCCAGAAAATTATAGAGTCGATAATTCCGTACACACATTTAGTGAGTCATTTTTCTTTATTCCATCATATTCACATACCAAAAAAAGTGAGTCTTTGACTCCGCTCCAAATGATGGAAGAACCTAGTGAGTCTTTGGTTCCACAAAACAACCCGCTCTCCCTTCAAGAATTTTCAATGCGGGACAAAGATGATTTTTC